GGAAACCATCAACCAACATCAATTCAAAATAAAATAATTTCTATCTTGTCGACAATAATCAACTGATGTGCAACTCACGTTCTCTTCACTAGTACTAAATATAAAGATGGATGACAATTGATAGATTTAAGATTTATCTCAATAGTTGTCGCTAATGAGTAATATACAACAAGCTATTGATCTTGTGCCTGACTCCACATTCTCGAATCTCCCACATACTCGAATGAGCCCAAGCGAGCCCCACATTACCAGAAAGAATAATGCTATTTGCAATCGCTCACTGCATCAGTCACTCTATGTGGCACACATATGTCAAGTGTGTATTTAATACATTAATGTGGTAAAAAAAACTACCACATTAATGCATCAAATAATACATGACACGTGTGTGCCACATAGGACGACTGCTATAGTGAGCGACTATAAATAGCATTACTCTACCAAAAATAGTGTCAGCAAAATTATTTCAAAATAAAGCCACATTTGAGCATTACAACCAAAAAATATATTTGTTAGGGAGATTATATTGTCCAATATCATTTTATTGGATTTTGCTACTTTACCACGACCAAATCGACCTTGATAACTCGCCCTCGATATTACCAGGGCCAATGTGGCCATTATAAAGCAACATAATTGCATTTTTATGTAGCCTCGTGATAACACAGTGGCTCGTAACCATGAAATTGGTCCATTTTATGTCTCTTTATCTGAGAAATTGATTACTGTAATTCTTAGCTTTTTATTTCAAAAATAAAATAAAATGATTAATTTATTTATTTTCGACTTTAACAAATAAAAAATTATAATATAAAATATGCTAAACTATTGTATATTATGTCCCTATTTGTAGGGATTAAAATTATATTTTTAGTATATTTTGATAAAAAAAAATGATGAAATGTGTAATTGAAAAGTTGTAAGTCCCATTAAACATATTGTCAAAATTAATTGTTGGTTTTGATTTAGATTGAATTTAAATTTTAATTTCTATAACGGGGCTAATTGGTTGGATTCATCGAAGATAAAATTAAAGTAAATACTACTTTTGTTTTTTTTTTTCTCAAACTAGAAAGAAGTATCATTTCACCACAACCCTTGTTTGAGTCTTATTTTGGGGAAAATTATATTTTAGAATAATGACTTTTTGTAGAATGTGTAGTTAAAAAATAAAAAAATATTTTCGATTTACGTACAAAATTATCTTATTAGAGAATGTATGATTAAAAATAAGTTTTGAAAAATAAATTTTTGAAAAAATGGGGCTCAAACAAGGGGCCTAATTTCCTTAGCCCTCGTTTGACAACAATTAAAATGAATTTTTAGGGTAAAAAAATTGGAATAATGATTTTATTTTTTTTTTGAAAAATTTATGCATAAAAAGTAGAAAAAATTTTGAATTTACACATAAGATATTTTATTGTAAAAATATATTGTTGAATAAGTGCTTGTTTGGTAGGGATTTTTGGGGGAAGAATTGATTTTTGAATAGTGATATGATGAAAAATGTGTAGTTAAAAAAGAAGAAAAAATTATTGATGTGATGAAAAATATTATTTTATTAAAAAAATATATGATTAAAAATGAGAATTGATTTGAGCTCAAATAAAAACAAAACACCCCCTAAATGAAATTCAAATAAAGCCATAAAGGGCATCTGTCAAAAAAATAAATCCGTAAAAAAAAAAAAAAAAACTGTACGAGTAGGGTGGTCGTACAAATTCACATGTACTAATCCTGAATTTGAAATGCAATGCTATGGGTCTGTCATATTAAGGTAGTTCTCTGGTGTTATTAACGATGTCTTTTATATTTTTCTGGATAATAAGCATTTTCCTGGGCGTCTTGTGCGAAGACATTTTTCTCCATATCTTGCAGCGTAATGAAGCAATTTACAAATAATAGAGCAAATGCGTTAAGTCTATGAATGGAAATACAGAAAATCGCATTTGTTTTTTAGGGTTTCTTGCCTTAATTTGTACTACTGCTGCACTTATTAAGGTTTCTACTAGAATTGTTTTTATCGAAGTGGTTTAGAGTGTTGAAAAATTTATGCTTCTTTTGTGATACGGAATTAGAGAAAAACACATATATCTGGCAGTAGAATGTTGCAGCCTGCAATCCGAACTGGGGGATGGATTTTAAGGGTTAGGGTCCCGACCCTTTGTTGCGATCATTGTAGAACTTTTGTTGTCCAGGGTATAAGGAGCATTATAACTCGGGCTTTGATTTGGAGATTTCTGTTGTGGCTGATAGTGGAAGGAAAATCATTAAGCCCGTAGGAATTTGATGCCTGGAAAATCGGCACAAGTTTAAGATTTTATCGACCTTGAGAATGGGAGTATGCCAAATCTCACTCAATAGTTCTATTTCTTGATTGTCATTTCAAGGCCAAGGTGGCAAAAAAATGTTTTTACGTGCCTGGAGAACATGTTCATAGGCACAATGAAGCCAAGAAAGACAAAAATGATTAGACGGCGTGTGAAGTGGACTGATCTAATTGCAGTAGCAGAGACAGACACGGCTTTTGCCAAAGAAGGGGAAGTTGAAAGCAATGTCTGAGGTCCTTGTTGAGAGATGTTATCACTTGGAGAGATAAGTTCAATGATCTTAACAAAACAGTTATTACATGTATAGACGTGCTTGTATTACATGGAGATTAATTTTTTTGATAGGATTACATGGAGATTATTTATTAACAGATCATCCTCTTTGGACTGGTACTTACTATTGAAGAGCCTCATCATGGAGGAGAAAAATTCTATTTCTATTATAGTACGAGTCCATTTCTTGATAAAACAATAGCTTACAAGTTAAAATCTTCTTAGCTCCCCTTTCATTTCATTAGAAATATTCATCCTTTCCATAACAACATGGTTTTCAACAACTTCACACGCATTTTTTCTCCCTAGCATTTCATTAAGTCTCTTATGCTTCTTGTTGAGAATATTGAATTTGTCCTCACATTGTTGAGGTGACACAATATAACCTCTTTCAACCATGGTGTTCGAAATAGCCCTCCACTTACCTTTTACCAGAGGAATAAAGTGTTTCCTTCTTTCACTGTTATTAGTAATAGATAATGCATCTTCCTCGACGTAAGAAACATCAGTGATCAAAAGCTCCACTATTTCATGTGTCCATTTATCCGTTGCCACACAAGTTCCCTTTTCTTTGCACATATTTAATTCTGCTCATTAAGAGCGCCCATAATATTCCCATTGACCGTTTTCTGAAAAATTGTTCAGCCTCTCGAAAGATCTGTATATTTGTATTGAAATTTTTTTCAGAATATTTACCCCACGGTTTGGTGAGTGTTGTGATTAGAGTGACTATGAGTCAAATGGTCCATGTCTTGTGTTCTTTGGTTAGAAAAACAGAAATTACAAGTTCAATCTGAGATGTTAAAGTTGGAATAGCAGCAAACCAGATGGATGGGGTTAGCAAGCTTGGAGTCAGGTACTAAATATGGAGTTCTTAAAGCTTGAGAATGGGTGCTCAGCATTAGAATCAAAAGGCAAGAAATGGGTGACTATGCAACTGAATTTAGCATGTACGGCTTGTTTTATCATCTTTCTTCCAGGTACATATTACTCAACTTTCTCTATTTTTTCAGTTCTAATTCTTGCTTCCTTTAAGCTACATTGCGTCATTATGAATTAAAGTTGGTGAACTATCAGATGGACGTTACTACATGCTTAGATGAAAAACTGTGATGTCCTCTGGTGATTAGATAATCTGGAAGTCTTGCTTCTTCTCTCTCTCTCTCTCTCTCTCTCTCCTCTTAATTTTTCTCTTGCTATTATGTTGTTGTTAAATACCATTATGCTTCAATTGTCAATAATCTCGTGGATGCTTAAATATGTGCATGTAATTTTCTTTTGCATTATCAGGGGATACTATGTAGTAGGCTTTATATTACAGACAAATGCATAGATTTTGGTCCATTTTAGGAAACACTATTAAGACATTGGACACTGCAAATCTATTTGCCATTGTTTCCTTGTATATTTGTTTCCTTTGCATGATTATTTCTTTATTTCATGATGAAAGTTTGAAGACATATTAGCAAATTTTTGCATGCACTTGCACCTGAATTTATGCATCATTTTCATATGTTATTTTAATGTATTTTATTCGATGAATGTGAAGATGCTGCTGCTAGCATATAATGTGGAACTCGACATTATGCAGTTCTTGGCTCATCAAATTACAAAGACTCCCTGCTTGGAGAAGGGTGTGTTTTAAGTTGAATTTATTTATAGCTGTTATGCACTACAATAAGAGATTTTTTGAACACCACTTCACTAAAGTTGATTGTCCGTAAAAATATCTGTCTTTTCATTCCACCTTTTTCTGTGAATGAGATTATCAAACTTTTAAAATGTATTTGTTTTTCATTCCACCTTTTTCCATAAAATGTATTTGTTTTTCTCACATGAAACAAATATGGCTTACAACATTTGTTTCTGATTATGTATTTCGGTTATGAATCTGAGATATTTAAATTTTCATTGCATCATCATTAAATCCGTGCGCTCAGATTAACTATCTTGTTGAGATTAAAGATGGTAAAAATGAAAATTCGAAATTGACAAGCTATTGCAATAATTTTTTAAAGCTCTTTTTGACAATTTATAAATCATTTATGAATGGTCAAACTTCATTTTCAAATGACACATTAAAATGGATCCACAAGTACTATCTACTTATCCTCACTCATTTCTGTCTATTTATAAAATTACACCGTTTATATATTCTTCCCAAACGGAAGCTTAGTCATTCAGAAATTTTTCAACTTTCTCCCTCACACTTGAATTTACTTGACCAGAAAATATTACATTATAAAGGATGAGTTGGGGCATGTTTAGCTTAGAGTTACACAGATTCTAGTTGCAGGATGAAGAGAAATTAGCTTACTTATCTCTACTTATCATATCAGTAATAAAAATATTTCTCTTTAATGTTGATTGTGTTTCAACTACAAGTATTATGAACTGTTCAAAATTGTTAAGAAACTTTTGTAACATTCCCAAAAAGAGAATGATAGAAAGGAAATAAATATGTTTTATTATAAAAGAATAGAAAAGTAGAGGATTGATACTTATATAATTCACAGATACAAAAGCTTGTTCGAGCACCGGCAATGCATTTTTGAAAATGTACGTGTTCATTTGTAGTAAGGGAGAAAGAAAAATTTCATAATGTCCAAAGTTTAATCTGTCATTGTGGGCCTGTACACTGTCTTCCGAAAGAAATTAGTTCCATTACTTGGTCATAATGAGATGAAGAGTAAGATAGATAACTACCAAGTAAAGCTTAAAAATGATTAGAAATCAAATTAATGAAGCTTAATAAGGTCAGAGTGCTTGAAGCCATAAAAGAAGAGGCCTTGATCTAATGAAAACCATCTTGGTGTTGGAGGGTGAAAATTATCAATGCCAAAATTGATGTAGCCTGTACATATTCTGAAGGCTTATATGAACCCTCACATGACCAGTTATTGATTCGTCGACATTAAACCCATTAAAACAATAAAAGCCCAGGTTATTACTCAAAATCTATCAAAAAATTATAATTTTTTGCCAATTAAATATGAGCATCCCAAGTACTTCAAAATAAATGTTGAAAATTGTTACTTGAAAATAATGGAGTCCCAATCCCGAAACATATCTACTTCATCCATTTGTTGGTTTTGCCATTTGCCGTTGTTGAAAGAAAGGCACTTGTTTTTCTCTTCAATGGTTTGTTCCCTGTGGTCCCAGGCGATATTAACAATGTGGGCTCTAAATTACTCCTGATACTGACGTTTCTTCCCTTTCCCATACAAGAAAATTTCATTTTATGTTCCAGCAATAAAAAAAGAAGATTAGCTTTCGATTTGAAATCTGGAATTCTGCGAGTCTATTATTTCTTTGGTAACCTTTGTTTCCTTTAAATCTCTTATCACCATTTTACAAATAATTTTTATTATAATTTATTTGATATTTCTCTGTTTTGCTTCACAATCTATGACATACATGGTATAATATACATCGACGTGTACTGCTTACACAGATTTATTTGACAGCCGAAGAAAGGGTGATTAAAAATTTATTGTTAGATTTGGTTCTTTGATTTAGTTCTTTCGATCCCTTGTTTCTCTTTTCAGCGATATTAACAATGTGGTTATCAAAAAAAAAAATGTTCTATTGATACTTATTTCTTTCCCATATAAGAAAATTACTTTGATGTTCCAGAGATTAAAAAAATTTTGCTTTTGATTCGAAATCTGGAATTCTGTGGGTGTATTATTTCTTCGATAATCTGTGTTTCCTTTTAAGTCTCATATCATCATTGTATATAACTTTCATGATAAAGTATCCCCTGTTTCTCTGCTGTGCTTCGCAATCTATGCTTTAATAATGTGCATCGATATGCACTACATAAACAGATCTATCAGAAAACATGAAGTGATTAAAAAGTTGTTAGATTTGGTTGTTTGCTTTTGTTTGTAAAATCCCTTTTGGTCCCATTTGGCAATAATAACAATGCAGTTATCTAAACTACTCTTGGTACTTGCTCTCATTTCATTCTTTTCCCATATGAGAAAATTGTATTTGATATTAGATCAATAAAATTAAGATTTGCTTTTGATTTGAAATGTGGAATTCTGTGGGTTTATTATTTTGTCAGTAATCCCTGTTTCCTTCAAATCTCATATGCATGATAAAGTCCTCCTGTTTCTCCATTCTGCTTCACAAGTTATGCTTTACTTGATATAATATACATCGATATGCACTACTTACACTGATCTATTAGATGAACAAGGAAAGGATGCTTAAAGATTATAGTTAGATTTGGTTCTTTGCTTTATTTTATGCCATTTAAGTAGCCTCGTTTGCAAAGTTGTGGATGCTTCTATTTGTTTCTTCCTGTATTGAGTGAGTTCATGTAACTTCCTTTTTTCTGTATTTTGACGTGAAGTAATATGGTTAATTTATGATTTCTAGGTAGAATTTTCCAAGGCTTGAGGTTGCTATTGTAATAAAAATGGAAGTTAACTTATCATGTTCTGGTGATATGGTGCAAGTCAATCACCAGCATGCTCCTTATCCATGGCAAGTTCCGGATGCTTTCTCTTTTCAGGTTGGCAGCATGCAAAAATTTGATCAAACTATGCCATTGCTCAAAGGAAACATAGATGAGAGGTTGAACAATTTTCAGGGAAACAGCCGATGGACGAATGTTCTTGGCACAGAGAAAAGGGAACCTGTGTGGCAGCGGATAAAATGGACAGAAGAAATGGTTAAACTTTTGATCACTGCTGTTTCTTACGTTGATGAAGATGCATTATCAACTGTTAATAACAGTGAAAGAAGGAAACACTTTATTCCTCTAGTAAAAGGTAAGTGGAGGGCTATTTCGAACACCATGGTTGAAAGAGGTTATATTGTGTCACCTCAACAGTGCGAGGATAAATTCAATATTCTGAACAAGAAGTACAAGAGACTTGATGAAATGCTAGGAAGAAAAAATGCTTCTGAGGTTGTTGAAAACCCTGTTGTTATGGAAAGGATGAACATATCTGTTGAAATGAAAGAAAACGTTAAGAAGATTTTAACTTGTAAGCAATTATTTTATCAAGAAATGCACTCATATCATTGTAGGAATAGAATTTTTCTCCTTCATGATGAGGCTCTTCAAAATTCATTGCGTTTTGCTCTGAAAGTCATGCACGAGTCTAAAGATGTGATTCAGGCGGATGCAAAGAGACAGAAAATACAAAAAGATCATAGTGTTGTATACATTGACGGTCCCAAAAATTATGTAGATTGCACGGGATCAGATCCTCGATCACCTAAGGACCTTGTCAATGCAAATTTTGTTCTCCCCAAGGGTGTGGAGGGAGAACAGGAGCAGGATCAGAGGCTCGTCTCTTGTTCACTGCAGTTGAAAAAGAAGATGCTGCAAATACGGAGACAGATGCTTGAACTGGAGAAGAAGAAGTTCGAGTGGCTGAAGTTGAACCAGGAGGCGGACAGGGAGTTGATCAAAATGAAGCAAGAAAATGAGTTGATGAGGCTTGAGAACGAAGGCTTGGCATTTGAACTAACATGCCTGGAAATGGATGCTGATTGCAAATGATGAAGTGTGTTCTGGCATTTTGCCAGGTGCATGCTGCAGAACTCTCTCTCTCTCTCTCTCTTTCCTTCTGTCCTCTTTTTTCAGTAAGTTCATGAACAATTACTTAAAACATCTCCTGTTCTTTAGTTTGGTTGAACTTTGATTGCATCAAAAAAGGATAATGCTTAGGATTGGGTTTTTGCTATGGTTTACAAGTTTTATGTTTACTGTTGTGCCTTTGACCAAATGAATGGAGCATATTTTCTTGGTAATCTGAATTTCCCTCTAATGTTAATGACCCTGTCTGAAAGTGTGTCATAATTGCATATATCGCAACTTTTCAAAACCGAAACGCAGATAACATGATGGGATCGATTAATTAGTGACCCTTCATCTCATATCAAATCTTCTTTTCATTTTTGGGTCGAAATGGTGGTGTTCAAAGTCCAGCACTGCTCAACTTGTATAGTCCAACTGTCCAAGTAGTTTTTAGTTCATGTTTGGTAGTATCAAACCACACCGAACAATATAGTATATAAGAATTTTGCTTCAGCTTCTTATTTAATACTGTCTAGTGCTATCTATTCTACCTTTTCAAACATGCATCAAAAGTCCTTAGACACTCCACTGATGCATCATATAGTTCAATTGTACTTCATAGCCTCGTTTTTCTTGGAAAATAATCAAATGATAGAATTTCCATGTAACAAATTGATCTATGGGTTTCAGTTATTAAATTGATGGTTCATTTCTTGCTCTTGTATATATACTTGAAGGAAGAAATATTTGTTCGAATTGTTTACTTTCTGAATTATGGCTTTTTTGGGTTTGACTTGCACTGGATGGAGTTTTTATTCCTTGATATTTGTTATCCACATAATTTTGTAGTTTTCTTGTAAATATAGAATAGATAGAATACTCTATCCAGCTGTCACTGTTGGCCCTTCCCTCCCTCGAACACCATATCATGTTGAGAATAAGGGGGACATACTGGATATAAGCGCTCCTTTGATTTGATTTTCGGAGCAGCTTATTGATTTTCTTGATTTGTATCTATTCTACAGTGTTTAGTACTTCACAGAGTTTCTTTAAAATGTATATCAACTTCCCACAAGTAATTGTGTCATGTTCAGTACTCTCATGCTTAGTCTAGAATTCACTACATGAGTTCTTGAATAGGTTGGTGAGGAACTTGGATAATTGAATTTCATACTTGTGATGTGTTCTTTTTTGTGTGTTCACTTTTTTTCATTTCCCCTCTGGTAACTAGGTTCACAACATAATGCTTTCTATATGACGGTATAAAATGTTGAGTGGATTGGACAGTTGAATTCAATATATTTCCGATGCATGCGAGATGTGTTGTTTATCTATAAATCAATTATTTTTTAAATAAGTAACTTGGTTAATTTTACTAATAAAAAATATATTTGTAACTTATTTATTTGTGAGTAAACTGCTCAATATTAGCCAAATGTGTTGTTAGAAAAACATTTATTTTTAAATGCAATCATTAGTCCGAAAAATTCAACTTGTTACGAGTTCAAACTTCTCGCTTATAATTTTCAATGCCAACAAATTTATAAGACATGAATCTAACGAATTATGCGAGCAATGAATGTATGTGAACGTCTTATGGGCAAAATAAGACAGGATTTCTATACTTACCTTATTTATAAATAAGAGGTTTAGTATTGTTCATTTCAAAATTAAGAACAAATGTTTTAAATTTCAAAAATCAAATACTAATTGAAATTTAATTAATTAATTAAATATATTATGTCACAAATTGACGATTTAATTAGTCACATATTATATTTCGATCACAAATCAGAAATTTTATATGTCATAAATTATTTTATTTGTCACAATTTAAAAATTTTATAAGAAACAATTTGTTCATCGATCAGAAATCAAAAATTTATACGTCACAATTTGTTTATCGGTCACAAATCACAAATACTATAAGTCAACTTAGTAGACAATCACAAATTGTCAAATTATCGGTCACAAACAAAAAAAAATTTAGGTCACATTATTTTTTTGTCACAATTTATCTTTTTCGTTGGTCACATTGTTTATTGGTTACAGATTAACCAATTTAATAGTTAAAATCAACCAAATAATTTATGACCACAACTACCACTTGTGAGCACTGTCGCACCACTCCCTCAAGCAGCATAATCCCCACAAGAACTACCACCACCACTTCCCGACAACAACTGCAACACCACCACCTCAAACAAATCAACACATTGCAGAAAAATAGCACAACATCGTCGTCACATTGCACCACCAACACCACTTGCACCACAACTGTTAGCGACCACCACCTCACCACCGTCAATAGCGTAAAATCTACCACCTCACCAGCGCCAGATCCACCACCAACAGTGCCAGATCTACCTATACCACCGCCAACAAAAAATCACCCAAAAAACACGCCGCACACTAAATAGCTACCCAAAACTCCGACCCAATTTTCCTTAGATTTGACACCATATCGAGAGCCAAAACTCAGCTCACGTTGCGAAGCGGCGAAATTGCAAGAAATCAAACTCATCGTGAAATCATATCCATCTGCTGCTTCTATGAAATCGACCCAAAACCTCTTGAAGTATTCTATCAAACTTGTGGATGAAATATTTTGCAACGCCGCCGCGTCGGAGCTGCACGGAGCCAGTAGAGAAAGGATAGAAAGAGACCGGGAAAGGGAGAATGGAGATACATTTATAGAGAGAGAGAGAGAGAGAAGATATCCATGTAGATTAATTCATTTATAATATTTTATTAATATTAAAAATTTGAATTAACATCTGATTTTTGTAAAAACAAACTTTAAATCTGATTTTTGAAATTAGAATTTAAAAAAAATCTGGTTTTTATGTAATTTCCACCTAATTTTATGCGAAAAGTTCACAAATCAAGTTTGAAGTTTCACCAATGCAAAAATCATGTATTAAATTTAAAAAAATGCAAAAATCAAGTATTTAGTTAATTAATTAAA